TTACATGACTCGTTACATGACACGCCTCGTTACGTGACACGTCTCGTTACGTGACATGCCTCGTTACATGACTCGTTACATGACACGCCTCGTTAGGTTACACGCCTCGTTAGGGGACACGCCTCGTTAGGTGACACGCCGCGTTAGGTGACACGCCTCGTTAGGTGACACGCCTCGTTAGGTGACACGCCTCGTTAGGTGACACGCCTCGTTAGGTGACACGCCTCGTTAGGTGACACGCCTCATCAGGTGACACGCCTCGTCAGGTGACGCCTCATCATGTGAGAAGCCTCATTACCTGGCACGCCGCATCACATGACACGCCTGGTTAGGTTACTCAGCGTTACATTTCGTTTTAGCCACTGTTTAGCTATTTTCAGCAGCTACTTTTCTAATTTCAGCTGCAGTTTTGTTAATTCATACTGTCATTTTGCAAATGTTAGCTACATTTTGGCTTTATTTAGCAACGGTTTTGCTAATTTTAGCTAGAGTTTGATTACACTAGTTTTTCTCCTTTTTTTCTTAAGTCTTCAGCAGTTTTGAACATTTATCCTGCTCTGCTGATTTCAGCTTCTTCAGTTATTTGTGCAGTCTTTCAGCTCTGTAGCATCACTGGATTTTCACAGGAAAACAAACTGTATTAGTTTGTAAACTGTAGCGTTGCAGCTGGTAGAGGTGCAACAAGCTAAAATCTCCTTTCGGTTACATTTTTAATCCAACCTGAGCTCTGCTCTTCTTCTCTGCTCTTTTTCAGGCATCAGGAAGTACGGGCGGGACTTCCAGGCCATCTCAGACGTGATCGGGAACAAGTCGGTGGTCCAGGTGAAGAACTTCCTGGTGAACTACAGGCGGAGGTTCAACCTGGACGAGGTTCTTCAGGAGTGGGAGGCGGAGCAGGAGATGGACGGAGGAGCAGGGGGAGGAAGTGATGGAGGAGAGAAGGAGGAGGAGGCAGAGAAAAACATGGAAGTGTGTTCAGCTGAGGATGAAGGAGCTCCTGAGCAGAAGGTAAGTTTTACAGAATAATTCTTTGATTTATTTATTTAAATGCTTTTATTTGACCTGAGTGAACTTTGGTGTCATCACTGAGGTTTTCTGTCAGCGCCACCTGCTGCTCAGGTGCAGGTGTGAACACCTGGAGGTGGTTCTAGATTGTTTTAATAATAATAAAAATAATAATGATGATGATGATAATATTTTTTTTATGTTTTATTTTTGCAGGACTCAAATCTTCCGGTGCATTCTGACAAAACTCTGGCCGACTGAGACCAGCCTAACGCTGAGAGGTGTTTCATTAAACTTTATTTTTCACTCTACTGGTCAGGTGGGAGGGGTCACCTGTCATCGCTGCTCTCTGAACCAATCAGATTACGACCCTTCGAAGTGTAGAAACATTCATTTTTTGCCACATTTGTCTTTTTTTAATTCTGTTTTTTGAATTGTTTAAGTCTTTGTTTACATTTCTCAGAGAACTGAGGTGTAGAAATGTAGGGTTCGGGGTCGAGAGGGGTCCGCTCCTTATTGGGGTTTTTAAAGGTTTTACAATATTTTTTAGAAGAAATGCAATAAAACACAAGAAAACAAATGAGTTTTGTTTTAAAGTTTACTGTCATAGGTTTCCAGGATCAGATGTTTCTTTTAGAATATTTTTCATTTACTTCTTGTTTTTTCTTTCCTCCAGTACGGTTTCTTTTCATGACCAGGTGATGGATGTAAACAGAATTTTCTTAATATTTATAAATATTTTTCACACAATTACAGTGAAATAAAGTGTATTAAGGGAAACCGTGGTTTGTTTTACTTCCTGTTGATTTTTACAGATTTTTGAACCGATCAGTAAAAATCAGTTTTCATCAGAACACAGGACATGTCTCTGTGTGGACAGGATCTGTCTTTATTTTGCTTTGTCTGTGTCCTCTGAGTGTCCTTCAGTGCATGTCTCAATAACCTTTAAAATTTTAATTACTGTATCCAGAGTGTAAATAAATCTATAGAGACAACTTCAGACACAACATAAAACATCAAAAACTTAAGTTTATATTCTGATGCAAGGTTATGATC